CCGCCACGGCCCTTTTTAAATTTAAAACAAGAGTGTAAATCGAAAAATAAAGCATTTATACGAAGTTTTAAAAGTGAAATGTATAATAGAAAGAAATGGTTGTGTGGATGTGAGCGTCTTAATGCATTCTTTTGTTTTCCTTGCATTATTTTTGGCGTAGAATCGATTTGGACAGAAACTGGAATCAGATTTTAATAAAAAGATGATAGAACATTTCGCTACAGAAAAATGTCGTCGCATTGATTTAATGTACAAAAAATAAACATATTTTATGTCAATTGTTGTTTTTGTCAATATTTTAGTAAAGTGAACCACCAGTTCGATAACCCACCAGCCGCCACTGGATATAACTAATTTTTACACTTTCAAATCTCTATTCAAACAACTAACAGAATAGTAATAATAACGCCGGCGGCCCGTCGCCTGCGGTCAATGGTCACGCATGCGCCGTAGCGACTATACGGTGTCTTGTACCTTGTATGAGTCAGATGTTTAGCACATTTTTTCGAATAATGTCGATTTAAAACTTATTTGCCTATGCACTGTAACTGACCTCTGCTTGATATTTTTTAAGTTATACTATTTTTTATAATAACCTTATACTTATATGTATACATGCCTTCAAGGGTTGACACAGTTTTTCATACAACCTGTATAATTAGTATATGTCGATGGCGCCAATCATCTAGGAAGAAAGAGATAGGCACAGGCCATCTCTCTCACTCTTTTATTACTAAAACAAATAATTAATGTATTATGTATCATTTTCTTGTCGAAAATCATGAATAAATGTTGAACTAAAAAACAAAGGAAACAAAAAAGCCAACATCACGCGGTGTTCCCAGGCGGTCACCCATCCAAGTACTGACCGCGCCCGACGTTGCTTAACTTCGGTGATCGGACGAGAACCGGTGTATTCAACGTGGTATGGACGTTGGCGACTGCTACACATTAAACTGTCAACTGAATGTGTCGTACACAAGATCTTTCAGTAGCACATCAATAGATGGCGCTCCACGACCTTCGCTTGGTCGTGTACAACGCGGTAACGAGATTTCTGTGATGCCCATGACGCCCGATCGTCGTGGATGTGTGAACTAAGACCTTACTTCATAGGATCATTTCTATAGTAAGCTCTTCACGAGATCTACACACTACGTGAGATCGTACCAGCCGTGTTGATGAGACGTGGCGCGGCGTCCTGAGCGTGAGGCGGACGACGGCTTCCGGCCGCCAGTCCTCGATGATCGTTCACCTCTCTCACCAGTGGGAGAGGCGTGGGGCGCTGTCGCTGTCTGAGCGGTCTTTTTTAACAACTTTATATTCACACTTAAATTAGACTTAATATTCTATCAAGATAAATAAAACAGTTCATGATTGGAACCTTTGCATCAGTAATTATGTTACTAAATACACACATACACATACATGTTCGAGAATAGTGAATCAAATGCAAAATAATTTATTTATCTCCTAAATTAAAATACTTGAAATTTTTGAAATTAAAATACCAAATGATTGTAAGAAATCAAAGATTTTCTATTTATGTAAAGGACTGGTAAAATTAGTTTGATAAATGTTTAATCGCTCATTTTTCTAATACTAAGATACTGAACAACAAATCATTTTTCCACGCAAGATATAAAATAGATTTTCTTAAAATATGATGTACTTGTGTGGTGTATTAGCTTAGATAAGACACCTCTCTGCTTACGGACACTGTTTCATGAACATATCACTCAGAATCAAATGTCACAATTTCTGTTTACAGATTATTAGTATTCCAATGAAGAATACCTATTTAACTGCAAAAGATCTATACATATATACACGCGCCCGTGTCTGTTAGTGCCGTGTTCCGTCAACAGATGTCGCCGTACCGTCCTCCTGGTCAGAGTGCACATCGCGCTAGTGAGATTTTCTCGTTCTCAATGACCCTCTCTGTATGAGTACAGGTCGGCATCGCTTCTCGGCCTTTTGGCTAAGATCAAAGTGTAGTATCTGTTCTTTTCAGCTTAATATCTGAAAGTTCCCGCATGTCGGGACCAGTATATTAAACTGATTTTTGTAAACCGACGGGATGTTCGGGGCTCGCTCCACTCCCGTCACGGGTCGGCCCGGCATTGCAGTGCCGCCGGGATCGGCCCACATAATATCTGAGAACTTGTATAAGGTTCCATTAACGAAAGTTTTAGATATTGTTTATATTAGTCGTCTATTATTATTTATTACATTGTGATATCCACTGTACAACACAGGTTAGTTTAGTCTATCGATGATAGTAAAAACTTTTACTAATCGATTGTCAGGAATTATGCAATAGTATTGCAAGTGAATTTAAAGTGATGTATAAAATGAAAGTAATAGAGAGTATTCTTGTATTTAATAGTGGTTATTAGATATTTCAAAGTACTTCCTTTATGATTCAAACCAAATTAATAAATGTCTAAACAATTCATGAGAAATTCAAAAAATCTACTGACATCCGTCGGGGTCGTAAAAATCTACTACAGAGAAAGCAATGAGATTCAAAATTAAATCCAAGCGCATCTTTAATTACTTCTTTTCCGTCTTTTGCTTGTTCATTTTCATGGGAGTAACTAACTATATTTGCTTGTGGAAAATTTATGTTATATTATTGACGTGATAACGTTTTTAAAATCGTTTTAGTAAGGAAAATATTACTATTTTTATGTTTGAATTGATTGATACAGATGAAAATTAAGATAGTATTTACCTTTTTATGCAGATTCGAAAAGTCTTCTGAAATATGAATATTACCTTATTTGTTTTATAACTATAGATGATTATTATGACTTACAATTCTCTTTTATGAATGTAACATGTGACATTACTTTTATGAAGTAATTAAAGTACATATAAATTTTAGAAAAATTTAGAATTCTACTTTTTTCGGTTTTTTGCCTTTTCTGAGAAGATTTACTATTGTAACATATTTATATTTTTTCATCACCGGAAAGTAGAGATTTCAACAAATACTTAGAAAACATACCAAATTTTTTAAAAAAGCAAATATGTTGACGGGTGATTTTTCGACTGAAAATGATACTAATTTTTTGATATTCATTCAATATATATTTTGGCAAATATTTATCAATTATAACATTTTATAAAACAAAGAACCCGCGTGTCTGTTTCTCTGTCAGTTCGCAATAAACAGAAAACTACTGCATCAATTACCAAGCGGTGTCCACCATTCGATAGCGTAATTCTCGAGAAAGGTTTTTATATAATTTGTTAAGGTTTTTTTATATGATGTTTATATAATTTGTAAAGGTTTTGTACTGAAGTTTTGTGTACATTAACGATATTAGTTGAAAATGTCGGGAAAAAATGAGCAGTCTGGGATCATTTAACGAAAACGCTTCCAAAATCCTTTGAGATATAACAGAACAATGTATGGTGGAATTGTGTATCTAATGTAGGTCTACAGAAACGTCCGCGGTGGCATATGTCTATCTCTTAAGGATAACATACCATATCCGTTTTTCTATTTTTAAATATTGCCATTAATTGAGCGTTTATAGGAAAGCTTTTGACATAATTACAATATTAAGTCTTATCAAAATAAATTACTTCGTGTTCAAGACTACATCAGTATCTATAAATTACTTTTTGAATTATTTAATTCGGACCTAGCTGACAGCTTACCAGAGTGACTAACACGGGGCACATGATAGCTAAGTTGGTTAGCTAGACCCTAGATATGGGCTCTGATCGCTTAGATTATGGGTTCAAACCCCGACGGATGTCAGTAGATTTTTTGAATTTCTCATGAATTGTTTAGACATTTATTAATTTGGTTTGAATCATAAAGGAAGTACTTTGAAATATCTAATAACCACTATTAAATACAAGAATACTCTCTATTACTTTCATTTTATACATCACTTTAAATTCACTTGCAATACTATTGCATAATTCCTGACAATCGATTAGTAAAAGTTTTTACTATCATCGATAGACTAAACTAACCTGTGTTGTACAGTGGATATCACAATGTAATAAATAATAATAGACGACTAATATAAACAATATCTAAAACTTTCGTTAATGGAACCTTATACAAGTTCTCAGATATTATGTGGGCCGATCCCGGCGGCACTGCAATGCCGGGCCGACCCGTGACGGGAGTGGAGCGAGCCCCAAACATCCCGTCGGTTTACAAAAATCAGTTTAATATACTGGTCCCGACATGCGGGGACTTTCAGATATTAAGCTGAAAAGAACAGATACTACACTTTGATCTTAGCCAAAAGGCCGAGAAGCGATGCCGACCTGTACTCATACAGAGAGGGTCATTGAGAACGAGAAAATCTCACTAGCGCGATGTGCACTCTGACCAGGAGGACGGTACGGCGACATCTGTTGACGGAACACGGCACTAACAGACACGGGCGTGTGTGACATGACGTACTTACTACTGAGGGATCCTTTGAAGATATATATGTATAGATCTTTTGTAGTTAAATAGGGATTCCTCATTGGAATACTAATGATCAGTAAACAGAAATTGTGACATTTAATTCTGAGTGATATATTCATGAAACAGTGTCCGTAAGCAGAGAGATGTCTTATCTAAGCTAATACACCATACAAGTACATCTTATTTTAAGAAAATCTATTTTATATCTTGCGTGGAAAAATTATTTGTTGTTCAGTATCTTAGTATTAGAAAAATGAGCGATTAAACATTTATCAAACTGATTTTACCAGTCCTTTACTTAAATAGAAAATCTTTGATTTCTTACAATCATTTGGTATTTTAATTTCAAAAATTTCAAGTATTTTATTTAGGAGATAAATAAATTATTTTGCATTTGATTCACTATTCTCGAACATGTATGTGTATGTGTGTATTTAGTAACATAATTACTGATGCAAAGGTTCCAATCATGAACTGTTTTATTTATCTTGATAGAATATTAAGTCTAATTTAAGTGTGAATATAAAGTTGTTAAAAAAGACCGCTCAGACAGCGACAGCGCCCCACGCCTCCCCCACTGGTGAGAGAGGTGAACGATCATCGAGGACTGGCGGCCGGAAGCCGTCGTCCGCCTCACGCTCAGGACGCCGCGCCACGTCTCATCAACACGGCTGGTACGATCTCACGTAGTGTGTAGATCTCGTGAAGAGCTTACTATAGAAATGATCCTATGAAGTAAGGTCTTAGTTCACACCTCCACGACGCTCGGGGGTCATGGGCATCACAGAAATCTCGTTACCGCGTTGTACACGACCAAGCGAAGGTCGTGGAGCGCCATCTATTGATGTGCTACTGAAAGATCTTGTGTACGACACATTCAGTTGACAGTTTAATGTGTAGCAGTCGCCAACGTCCATACCACGTTGAATACACCGGTTCTCGTCCGATCACCGAAGTTAAGCAACGTCGGGCGCGGTCAGTACTTGGATGGGTGACCGCCTGGGAACACCGCGTGATGTTGGCTGTTTTGTTGTTTCCTTGTGTTTTTTTGTTTTTAGTTCAATATTTATTCATAATTTCGTTGAGCTGATTAGAGTGATACATAATACATTGATTTTTTATTTATTTGTTATAAATCTGAATGCTTAATGTGAACACTATTGAAACAAACTTTTTAATAGGAACAAAATTTTTAACAGGCATAAAATAAATATAAATAAGTACATACGTGTAAGTCTTATGGAATTTAATGGTAACCGGTATTAAAAATATTATTTGTTGGTAATTTGAATTTAGTTATTCAATGCATATTATTGTACATACTAAATTTTCAATATCTCTTGACTCTTAGTAAATAGATTTACATATTTATACTATGTTTTGAATGTTATTCTGTTAGATGAGAGAGTATTCATATCCAGGTGTCAAATTATTGTTAGGTACCGTTTACTCACAAAATAATATTTAATAATTTTCGATATCTCTGCTTTCATTATTATTGTATACAGGTACTAATTTAGATAATTCATTTTTTATACATAATACTATTTGAAAGTTATAAAGTATACATATCTAGCAATCCTTCTTTTTATATAAAGAAACCATCTGTAAAGAGTAAGTGTTGTCTTATGATACACTAGTTATTTGCTATGGCTATGCTCACTTATTTAAACGTCATTGAGATTTGATTTGTAAAAGATTGTTTACTATAAAGCTGTTGTTTTGATTACATGTAATGTAATTATAATCATGTAATTATACAGACAGACACTTTTACTTTAATTGCTATTATAGTAATAAGTATAAGTTATAGTTTATGATTTAAGAGAGTTTTAAAATGAAATAAATGATAATGTTAGATTTTTAAATTTACTTTTAAATTTTACCTGTTTAGTTATTATTATTTTATATAAGGGGCTTACATAAATAATATTAGATGAAGTCAAAATGATGTTATTAAAATAATCGTTAATTAAGTTTCAACAACTTTATTAAAAAAGTTATAATTTATAAAAAATAATAATTCTCCACTTAATAAATGTCTTATTAGTAAGAATTAGTGTATTTAAAGGTCAGCAAGATGAAACATGGTAATTATAAATCTGATACAAACTAAGTCAACAGTAAAAATGATTTCAAACATAACATATAGATAACAAAAAACAAAAAAAAATTCAAAGATAACCTTAATCATATGAAGAATATTTAAAATACGATATTCAGTCAAGGGTCAAAGGTCATATAATATAGTGTAAGGTCAAAGGTGATATTGATACCGACCTGGAATGTTTATTCTTTCATTCTATGTGAGGTAGACAGCTATGTAGTCATCTGCTGCGTCCAACACAGCCTGCCTCAGAGTTTCATCCCTGGCCTTCAGTGCTGCTGTATGCTTGGGCAGAAAGAGGCAGATGCGACTGGTTTCAGCCCAGGAGTAGTTCAATGTACCTGGATATAGTATGACGTTATACATAGTATGGATATAGCAGACTTATATGAGATAGATATTTGGGTTATCAAAAGAATTTATTAGGAAATTGATGGGTAATAATGTAGAAGTTATATGACTTGAATTTTGTGTATTACATTATTAATATTCAAATAGCTTAAGAATAGAAATATAAGATTTTGGAGCTGTACTTATTCCGATTGGGCAATTGGTGAAGTGAGTATTCAATATTCTTTTTCTTCTACCTGGCAATTTCCCAGCTTCTGCCAAGCCAGGGTCTGCGTTATATGTTGTGAATAGTTTTGGCTAATTGTTTTTACGACCGGCCGCCTGCCTGACATCAACCTTCTTTGGGAATAAGTGAGTATTCAATATAAGTGATATTAACCGTAGTATTTCAGCGGCCAGTGGTGTGGGGAATGTGATCGTGTGAGGAGGCAGGAGGGCAGAGCACCCGGCGTGAGGACCCGCGCCGGCCACCACGGACAGGAGCCCAGCTTGTGCCAGACTACGTCATCGTAACTGACAGAGGGTACAAGTTAGACAGAAGACTGTTACATCTGTGCCGTACTAATTATAATATACTGTGATCCTTAGAACTATTTCTATGACTGATTATAATTAATCAATTAATCATAATTAAATTTTGTAATGGCATGATCTGAGTATCAACCAGTATTTGAATAGTATAAATACAGGCTCCAGCCATTTAGTAAGTCTTGACTTTAAGCAACGATGAACAATAAAAAACAATCTGAAATTGTACCATGAACAATTGATAAATCAAATACAAGGTGATTAAATTTAATATTTATGTTAAATTACTTCTATAATTGGTCCTATCAAACTTTTCAGACCCTTAGAGAGAGGCTTACTAGAGGTCTCCTATAAAACTGAATAATAGCTTTATATATATTAGATTGTATGTGGACACATCCTACTAATATTATAATTGCGAAAGTTTGTGTGTGTATGTTTGTTACTCAAACATCTGAACCGATTTTGATAAAAAATTGTATACATAAAGCTGACGTCCAAGAATAACACATAGGCTACTTTACATCCCGGAAATCCGCGAGTAACGCCGCGGGGCGCAGCTATTATAGTATATTTGTTGATTATTTAACACCACTCACCCAACTTTAGGTCCCCACATACAGCTGGGACAGACTTCTAGATTCTCCTTCTCCTTGTGAACGCTGCTTATAGTTCTGGTGCTCGACAGGATCTTGTCAACGAGAGTCACTTGTTTCTGCATTTTCTTTGGCGGATTCTTACGGTCTTCACGAAGAACATGGAGATGAATAAAATATGAATATTTTATAATAGTTTTAACGCAAAATATAGGGCATTATTTTAAGTTTGATTTTTAAATAATAAAGATTTTGTGAACAAGATTAGGATGTATACGTATCATACGTTGTCCTACAGAGACAGAAGTCACGTTTTATTTCTTGTTTTTTTTTCTAATTTCAATTTCATTCAATAAAAAAATCAGAACTAAACATAAGATTACGAATATTGCGACACATTCAGTTGATAATTTAAAGTCTAGCAGTCGCCAACGTCCATACCACGTTGAATACACCGGTTCTCGTCCGATCACCGAAGTTAAGCAACGTCGGGCGCGGTCAGTACTTGGATGGGTGACCGCCTGGGAACACCGCGTGATGTTGGCTTTTTGTTTCCCTGTTTTCCTTTGTCTACTTATTTTCATCATTAATTGTCCTTGTTTAATATTATTTTTATTATTATTATTATATTCATACAGCCACAGAACCGAGCGAAGGTATCATATTTTTGGAAAGATTTTATATCGCTCCGAAATGTGAACCTGCTGTTATGTCTTTCAGAACAGTTTAATGGTAGTCTATTCTAGAAAAAAGTTTTGGTCTCAGAAACTCGTTCAAGTTTTTGAAAGAATAAGATTAAGTTCATGGGTTTAATATGAAACATTTTATTAGAACAACGAGTAACGTCACCTTTTTTAGTTCAATCTGAACTAAGTTGTATTCTGATATGAAGTTAAGATCAATTCGGCGATAAGGATCAAAGTATTTCTCCCCACACCACAAAAGAATCGACAGTTGGCATCAATAGTTCTCTTTATTGTTAAGTGAAAACTTGCCTAATTTATTTTGGATCAACAAATAATTAAGACATGTGTTAAGCAACTAAAGTGTATAATAATTCTTATAAATTATCATGTTATTTGGATCGATTGCAGATCACTTTATCTTATCGTTTAATAAAGTTTAAAGTGTTGCCGAAATCTATGAAGGCAATAGGCATAAGGATTAAAATAGAATAATTCGTGATGCTGAAGCATATTGTAAATGGAATTCAATTGACCAAAGGATGAAAGTAACTCTCAAATTATCAAAGGAATACATACATCAAGGAATAGTTATTATAATGAATGATTGATTTCTATTGACTATCTCTCAACGTGCTGAATTATAGACAATAATTTAGTAAAGATGACAGGTCATTTTAAATTATAGTTTATCAAGTGTCTCTTAATTTTAAAATATAGTTTTTGATTATAGTATGTTTTTAAATTATCAGTAATATTATTATTTATTTTGAATTAAGTATTTAAGTATGATAAGTTATAATTTATTTCTTAAAAGATTGTTGACGTTAAGTGTTATCTGGTAAAGAAAAAAATATATTTTTCTAATAATATTCACTGAAGATGGCTACATTTCACTCAACCACTTAAAATATAGTGTATTAACTAACTAACAGTGGAGCTTTTACATATAATAAATTTAATGACTTATGTGGGCCGATCCCGGCGGCACTGCAATGCCGGGCCGACCCGTGACGGGAGTGGAGCGAGCCCCGAACATCCCGTCGGTTTACAAAAATCAGTTTAATATACTGGTCCCGACATGCGGGAACTTTCAGATATTAAGCTGAAAAGAACAGATACTACACTTTGATCTTAGCCAAAAGGCCGAGAAGCGATGCCGACCTACACTCATACAGAGAGGGTCATTGAGAACGAGAAAATCTCACTAGCGCGATGTAATTTCACTTGTAGCTCTCGAGCGCCATCTAGTTATAGCCATAATCATTTCTTAAACAGTAGATACATAATATTTATATTGCCGTTACTATTACGTATTTTGTTTTCTATTTTAGAGTAATGCTCTAACAGAATACTATTCTAAATTACATACATATATACAACAGGTTCAGATTTCGGAGCGATTTAAAATGTTTCCAAAAATATGATAACGTATCAACGCTCGGTTCTGCGGCTGTATGAATATATTAAAAATAAAAATAATAATATTAAACAAGGACAATTAATGATGAAAATAAGTAGACAAACGAAAAACGGGAAAACAAAAAGCCAACATCACGCGGTGTTCCCAGGCGGTCACCCATCCAAGTACTGACCGCGCCCGACGTTGCTTAACTTCGGTGATCGGACGAGAACCGGTGTATTCAACGTGGTATGGACGTTGGCGACTGCTTGACATTAAACTGTCAACTGAATGTGTCGGAATATTCTTAATCTTATGTTTATAACAATTTTTCAATTTCACGTGATACGATTGATTGCACGTAGCTGTGCAAGACGAACGGATTTTTTATTAAATAAAATTAAAATGAAAAACAGAAACAAGAAAAAAACGTGACTACGCTCTTTGTAGGACAACGTATGATACGTATGTAGGTATTACAAAGATAATAAACCAAATCTGATAAGACCAGGTATTGAAGACGGATCGAAGAACAATATTCCTCCCGTTAGATCCTAAAATCTGGTAAAAAAATAAATAGTACCTAGACACTTTATAAGAGTCGCTTCGGACTGGTTAACCGTGAGATTACAGAGACATGACCCATTCGATATATTAATTTGTGAATGAATCTGCCGTATATTCCGGAAGTGACGTAATTTTAGGTTTTTTTATTTGATTGGTCTCATGCTGTTAACCCTAATAGCTTTGACAGCGTCACCGAGAGGGGTGGATAGCCCTGATGGGACCGACCCGATTTAATTCGGGTCCGAAGGGCCCAACTAGGGATACGGCCGTCCCAAGGGTTCCTGTTAGAGGCCGGACCTCGGCTTTGGACGTCGTTGGAGTGGTGGAATCGATCAGGAAGCGGGATCTAGCCTTCGCCGGCGAAGGCGGTGTATGTTTATGATGTCTGTTGTTATTTGGTCGTCAGGGTCTAAGAGGCTGTGTTTGGGACGCCTCTTGCCTATGGGGGAGTTAGGTGACGGGGAATAGTCACACGCTCTAACTATCAATGGGTTCGGATGTAGTGACGCGGTCTCGAATAATTTTAGTGAAAACGGTCTTCAAGAAATTCCATTCTGTCATAATGTACCAAAAAAAGAGTATGTAATTTTCCAAAATACAGTAGAAACTCGGTTATCCGGCCCTCAGTTATACGGATTCGCGATTATCCGGACTACGGACAAACCCCGACAAGTGCGGACAAGTTCGGACAAATCCTGACAAGAAAAAATGTTAAAGAGTAAGAGAGTGGTGTTGTTGAGAGTGGCGTACGTCAAATGACTTACTAAATATTTAAAGCAAATTGAACTTATTATTTTAATTCATGGTTACCATTTGCAAATTACCAAACACATATTATTATTTATTTCATGACTAGAAGTCCTGGCGAACTTCGTATCGCCCTATAATCAAGAAATATCTATTACGTTTTTTTATTTATATTTTTGGAGTTTACCTGTAAGCCAAAAATCTCCGTGTTTTGAAGTGCGACAGAATGATTGACATATTAGTTAGTTGTTAAATCTAATGTCAAAAAAAACGTTTGTATGGGAAATAGAAAAGGGCTGTTTTTATGGTTTTCCCAGTAATAAATATATTTTTTTAAGCTTTTATACCTTCCCTGAACCTCCACGAACATTTCAAGACTATGATAAGATAAATCCGTTCAGCTGTTCTCGAGTTTTAGCGAGACTAAGGAACAGCAATCCATTTTTATATATATAGAAGAAGAAGATATATAATATTATAATATATATCAAGTTTTCTTTATATATATAGAAGATTAAATATGCAGTTTTTAGTACATACAGGTAAGTGCATATATGTATGTATATGTAATCAAAGAAAATGTATCCTTTATAATTTAGTAATAAACATTGATTATTATCGTTGTTATGGATTTGTTACTTTTTTAAATAAACCTATATTATTATGTACTACATATATATAAAACCCGCTTTTCTTCATACATTCGATTATCCGAATGCCTATCGACAACGATTAGTTCGCTCTATCGAGTTTCTAAGAGTAGGGTGAAAAGGTTTTTTTTATTTGAGTTTGTTTTGCCATCATTGACGAAACATTACAGTCACTCCGGAAACAAAACTAGCGATTTAGCTCAATAGATTCTATCAGCAAATAACGCGTTGACCATGGCTTCAGTATTCTGGGACTCGAAGGGCTTGATTGTGTTTTATGTTCTATTAACATCTGTGCCATCAATAGAATGACAGTCATGTCCGTGGCCTTCATCCGTCACCGCATCTGCCTGTTTTGACAGTCTTCATATGTGTCTCCACCCTAAATTCAAAAAAACAATACATGTCATCTTCACTTCATGTCTTTAGGTCCTCTGTTAGAGCTCTTACATTACATGGGTACATGTTTCATGGTTCAGGTCGTCGTTCTGATAACCGATATGGTAGTATGCGACTCGCTGACAGACAATTGACCTAAATTAACTATCTGAGTTGTTTTACTTTTTCCTTTTCAGGAAACAAGTAGTGAGAGTTATCGAAGGCCAGGTCTCTCTTTCGTTCTATATATTTACTAGTCTGCCGGGCGTCTAGCGTACATACATATTTATGTACTTAGATGTGAACGTTTAAATAAGGCAGTTTTATTTTGACAAAAGCAAATCTGCAGCAATGACACGGACGTTTTTCTCACAGGCGAAACGAAAATAGGACACGGTGTTAAATGATAATATGGAACGTGTCACTAGATGGCGCTCCGCAAGCGTCGCTTGGTCGTGTACAACGCGGTAACGAGATTTCCGTGATGACCATGACGCCCGATAGTCGTGGATGTACGTGTTAAGACCTTACTTCATAGGATCATTTCTATAGTAAGCTCTTCACGAGATCTACACACTACGTGAGATCGTACCAGCCGTGTTGATGAGACGTGGCGCGGCGTCCTGAGCGTGAGGCGGACGACGGCTTCCGGCCGCCAGTCCTCGATGATCGTTCACCTCTCTCACCAGTGGGAGAGG